GCAACATACAGTCTCTTCTATATTTCCAAGGTAATTTTAAAAGCTGATAATACAATCCTATAGGTATGCAAGTCAGAGTTGTAAATATTATCTTTAACAATGCACTTTTATTGTTCATTTTGGATGAGCCTCTAGGCTTTTTTTCCGAAGAAAAGTCAGAGGCCCCCCGGCCTGCAATCAAAGGCCAGAAATATGATTTGTTTTATGGAGGTTGGGCAGGTCCGTGCTGAAACAGATAGTGGCCTGGAAAACAACTGTCCAGTTCCCATCTAATCTCATTTGCCCTGCCTGCATAATTACAATCAACGCCAGCAACTGGCACATAAATTCAGAATTAATTTGCCGCGGGCTGATGGGATTATGGACAAATTGCTGTCGGATTCTTGAGGGGATGTAAGAGAGCCGTGTGTCAGACTTACCCGCCTTGCTGGAGGCCTCCGGGTCGCCGAGTTTGGTGAGACGTTCCGTCAGCAGCGAATGAATCACGCCGTATGTGTTGATGAATCCGAAGATGATGCCGTTGCAGAGGAAGGCGCTCACCATGACCAACCAGGCACGGGCTCCCCCATCCGGAGGCTCCTTGCCGTGTATGTCCCGACAGCAGGGCGCCTCGATGTGTGTCCCGTTCCCATTCTGAACCGGGGGAGGAGGCTTCATCGAATCCTTTCCATTGGCATGGACCTGGCCGTTGGTGTGTCCATTGGCGGCGGGCAGGATGCGGGCGTTCACCTGGCTCTGCACATCGTTCAGCGGCTCATTCTCGGTCATGGCTTCTGGCTGGGATCGGTGTGTTGGAGGTGCTGCCTGCAAATATACATAGAGTTTTGATTGGGCTGCACACTCCGTAATCAGTCAGCCACATTGCACCCAAATATGCTGTTGACTGCCGCCTGCCGAAATCCCCATCCCGGAAAATAATCACAGACTGACGGAATTGGCTAGCCAAATATTTGGACACGTTTATCGCTATTTGCGCCTCCGGCAAATGAAAATGCAGTTTACATTGTCGGCAATCCGGAATGCAACTAAACGGGAGACAAAGGCACTTAGTTCTCGAGGGAGTGGAATCTTAGCGAAAGTTACTTTTAAAACTAAAAGAGAGATTAGATCTCTATCTGCTGATAACTTGAACGGACTATTAAGTTCATGAAATAAACTAGCCCTTTTATCACACTTTTAAAGGCCTATCCTTATATTAAAATTACACTTATCCCAATAAGATTATTAGACATTTGAACCTTAAATAAACAAGGGAAGCATTAAGTGTAATTAAAGCAATTTATCTTTTTTATTAAAATACCCTATTATTTAAAAAGTAACCATGGGTAACCATTTCTAATTAGTAAATGTCTTTATATTTTATCTATATGAAATTTGCCCTTATGATAGCCTTAATTACAGTCACATTCCAAAAGACTGATCGGATTGCAGAGCTGAGTAAACAAAGAACCAAAACTATCTAGGGTTTAATTAGCTAGCAGGTTCAAATTAATATCCACAGATATAACTTTCAGGTTACATACACCTAGTTGTCGTGGAGACATGCTCGATTCCAATTTCCCCTCTGAATATCTGGTCAGCAACATTGTAATGCACTTTTAAGCTGCGCAGAACACAGATTGCATTACAAGCGATAACTGAAATTTGTCGCATTTCTCGATTATGCATGCCCTTGTCGAGTGCACCTCGGAATGGATTGGGGATGGGGTGTGGGGGTTCGAGGTGGGTCTGCGTCTGCGGTTCAGTGCAACGGTCTGTTCTGCAAACGTTTTCTTTTTCCCGCCCCGGGGCAGCCGAAAAATGCGCACCGCAATAGCGAAAGCCCAATGTAACGCGAACCGCACACCAGAATATATAAAGAATTGCGACCGTTTTCGTTCTTGACGGCTATCGGAGAAGTCGGCGCTATCAACGGCGTGCACGTGTCCGCTCGATGACGACGCACTGACACCCAACCGAATCCCTCGGGGGTCACTGCCGAAATCGAAGGTCACCGGTCGATGGATTCGCCCTTATGCAACCACCGGTGAGTAGCCCCCTCCTTGGAGCCCCTTCCCTACGTACTTGTAAGCCGGAATTCCAGTCGAAGGCTTGCGATTCACTTGAAGACTCCAGGAATCCAGCGCGGCACTCGAGCGCGAATCGAGGAGTGATTAGTGGGCGGGTGGAAACTCTCGAGCGAGCACACAACCGAGCGCTTGCGTCGTCGGCGGCGGAATGAAGAAAACTGAATTATTTTCCACGAGCCGTTTTTGCAAAAAATCGCTCGCTCACTTGAGGCGCCTAATCAGAGAAGCAGAGCAACCGAAACCGCAGCGGTTGTGTTCTCTGCGGTAAACAAAAATTCACCTAGGCAACGGCGACAATGGACAGACACAAACGGTTTCCCAGCCAGGCAGATGATGCAGCTTCTCCAGGTCCGGTCCAGTTCCTCGCAAATCACATGATCATGGGCTGGATTTTATGTTCATTAAATGCTCCTCTAATTGATCAATTCCCAGAATTAGAAACTGAAGCATTCGGCTGTCCACTGCGCAGTGCCATCAATTGGTGGCTTAGTTGGTGGCGATGACTTCCACAACCGGCAAGTGGCCATATCCGCCGCAGCCACCAAAGACGATGCCCAATGCTCCACACACTGACCCCAACTTGACTCATCCGGCGAATTGTTCGCTCCTGGCGCCGGCGCTTCCTCTCTTCATCCGCGGATCAAAGGCCCGTCGAGTGGTTTTGGGTATGTATATTTTGACTGAACTCCGGCAGGGAGCAAAGGCCACGTTCATTGTGTTAGATGTGAGATGTATAAATGTAAAACTTACTTGTTAGTGGAAGATTCAATTCGATTAAATTAAAATAATACTAGCTAAGCGCCCGACAGCTTCACATTTTCAGAGGAGCAGCGTCGAGGGACATGGGCAGAACATTGGGCAGCACGGGCTCTGGCTGGTCGATGATCAGCTTCAGATTCTTGTCGGGCCACTCCAGCTCCAGCCTCTGCTTCGGCTCGCAGTTCTCGTCCAGGCCAGCGCTGCGGAAGTCCTCCATCAGACGCGGCACAAGTTCGTCGGGTATCAGGACCTGGATCCAATAGCCCAGCACTCCGTAAGGTTCGCTGACTGTGACCGCCGAACCGGTCACGCTTTCCGCTACCAACGTAAGCGCCAGGTGCTGGGCCTTAAAGGTGAAGTGTCGCCCGTGCCGGATGCGATCCTTAATGGCCAGCAGCAGATACTTCGCCACGCCGGGTGCCAGGGTGATCTCAATGCCGTCCAGCGAGATGCAGTTGGGTGCCTGTGGCTGAAAGTCCAGGGGACAGGACTTGTGCAACGAGTTGCTGCTCATCGACATGGACTGTGGGAAACTCGGCTCCTCGCGCTTCATTTGCGTCTCTGTCAGGGGGCGGTTGTTCTCCTCGTTGGCGCACTTCTCGCTCAGCGCCTGGAAGTCCACCTCCTGCTTCACCTGCTTGGTGGGCTTTAGCTCGCGAAACGTGAACTCCGCATTGACGCCGGCCAGATCGGAGCCCTGCTTCTCCAGGTCGTCCTGCAGGTTGAGCAGGGTCTCTGGGAACAGCTCGAACACACTCATCGGACGGTCCATGTTGGTCACCAGCCAATCGCCGCCCGTCTGCACGTCCTGGCGCAAAAAGTTAAGCACTCCGCGTCCATTCCAACGGGAGGCTTGCTCCAGTTCGTTTTCGAAGACGCCGACCAGCTGACAGAAGTCCACTGTGCCAGTGGGCGTCTCGATGCATCCCAACTGCGGGTCTTGGGCGACCAGGAGACTCTGCAACTTGGAGGTGGCACTGCCGCCCAGGCTCTTGCGCCACGGGATGTTGTCTCCGAAGCACAGCCCGTTGCCCGTCTGAAAGCAGTATCGTCCGATTGCCTGCAGAAGGTTTGCCGGCCAGGTTGGCGGTCGTTGGGGCTTCTCCGGATTCTCGATCTGCTGCTTCAGCTCTGCCTCCGTTTTGGCCAAGCGAAAGGTCAGTTCGAATCCCATGCCGGACCTTGTGGCGCCCTCCTCTCGCAGATGGACGCGTTCGTCGCCGTGCAGGTCACTTAGCCCGAAGCTGATGTAGTGCCAGTGCGGCGGAATGTTCCTGTCCGCATCCCCGGGGAAGTTGTACATGCTGATGTAGTCCAGCGGGTCCTGACCACCCAGCCAGTATTTGAGCAGCGTCGTCACCTGCAGCGGGTTGGGCTGCTGTGGATACGCCTGGGCCAGGTGGTCTATGATGGCCTTAAGGCCCGGCGGAGGCTTCACCTCCGGTTTTTTGTCCAAGTTCGCATCGGCCATTTCATCCAGTAAGATTAGTATGACAGTATCTATGCCGTTGTAAAATACCACCGGTAGCTAGTAAAAAGGAAAAATATACTGCATCTCAAATACACCAAGGATGTAAAATACAGAATGTAGTGTTTTGACATTTGCTTTTCTTTATTTTTAAGTTTTTCAAATTTCACTAAAAGGCGTTGAAGTTTTTCCAGGAAACACATTTATTTTATTTAAATTAACCCACACAAAGGAAAATCGCTTATTTGACATGTCAAATGTAAATTATGGTTCAGGCATATTAGGGAGATCTCTTGGAATATACCGCCTTGGAATATTTTTACCTGCGGTTTATTTCTGCGAACCAGCTACGGTCACCTAAGGTTGACCAACTAATAGAAAATTTGCAAATTTTGAAAAACGCACAAAATGGAGCCTTATGATGTCGTCGTCAACCAGCCCGTCGTCATAGATAACGTAAGTGGAAGTGGGTGCTTCGAAATCCTGGAGGTTTTGGACAAATCGCTAGTTCACAGCTCTTTAGCCAGCAAACAGTGACATCACCTACGCCCCGTCCCTTTGTCGCGAGCTTTCAAGCCGTCTTCATATGGCCAACATGACTAATCCCCGAAACAAGAACTCGGCATTAGCCAAAGATGGCTTATTTTGGAAGTAAAAGGAGGTCCAACTGGCAATTTTGATAGGATCGTTCCCGTAGTAGCATTTTACTTGCCCAGCACACGCACACACGGATACCTGCGGGCGATGGCCGACTCCCTGCTGTTGCGTCCCTCCATCTGAAAGCCCCTGTCGAAGTCCATCTTCCGCCCGTACTCCATCGGATAGACCACCGGAATGGACTCCACATGCGAGGCAGCGGGTCGCTTCAGGCGCTCCAGTTCGGGATCTATCTTAATGCCGCACTTGCCCCTATATGTGCTGAACATCTTGGGACGGAGCAGCTTGTTGTAGGGGTCGCGGAACTGGTCCCGGTACTTTTGGCACTCCAGATAGAACGAGTCCACCTTGTACATCCCGCCATAGCTGATGTTGGTCAGTCCAACGGGAGGTGCAAACTTTAGAAGCGACTCCCGCTCGTATTGCGAGTTCTTGGACACCATCATCATATCCACCTCCGGCACATTATAGGACTCCATGTTTGCAATTTAGATATCAATGCTTTTCGCCCGTAATTTTAAATCTACAAAAAGTTTCACAGCAAACTAAATGTTTTCCGATCACTTGTTACAGGGCTCCGGTGTGATCAAGGCCGGCTTTGCTGGTGAGCACATTCCAAAATGCAGGTTTCCCAATTAGTAAGTGCCCCAAACCCTTATGTCCCGTAGTACCCTTCAACTTATGCCTTATCCTGCAGCATTGGTCGGCCCAAGCATGTCCGGGTGATGGCTGGTGCCCTGGAGGGCGACATATTTGTTGGACCCAAGGCGGAGGAGCACCGTGGTCTGCTCAGCATCCGGTATCCCATGGAGCACGGCATCGTCACCGACTGGAATGACATGGAGCGGATATGGAGCTACATTTACAGCAAAGTAAGGTTGCCATCAATCCCCCATATTCCTTAATCACCTCTGTATATTTTAACAACCAGGAACAACTAGCCACCTTCACGGAGGATCATCCCGTGCTGCTGACCGAAGCCCCGCTGAATCCGCGTCGCAATCGCGAAAAGGCAGCCGAGTTCTTCTTCGAAGGCATCAATGCACCTGCGCTCTTTGTCTCTATGCAGGCGGTGCTCAGTCTGTAAGCATAGCAATCCCAGGAAGTATACATACCGTATTAACATTTTCATTAACTTGCAGCTATGCCACCGGACGCGTGACAGGCGTGGTGCTCGACTCCGGCGACGGTGTGACGCATGCGGTTCCCATCTACGAGGGATTCGCCATGCCTCACAGTATTATGCGCGTGGACATCGCCGGGCGCGATGTTACGCGCTACCTGAAGACACTCATCCGCCGCGAGGGCTTCAACTTCCGGTCGACCGCCGAATTTGAGATTGTGCGCTCCATCAAGGAGAAGGTCTGCTATCTGGCCACCAACCCACAGAAGGAGGAAACCGTGGAGACCGAGAAGTTTGCCTACAAGCTGCCTGATGGCAAGACCTTTGAGATTGGACCTGCCCGCTTCAGGGCGCCGGAGGTACTCTTCCGGCCCGATCTCCTGGGCGAAGAGTGCGAGGGCATACACGACGTTCTGATGTACTCCATCGAAAAGTCGGATATGGATCTCAGGAAAATGCTCTACCAGAACATCGTGCTCTCCGGTGGTTCCACGCTTTTCAAGGGATTCGGCGACCGCCTGCTGTCCGAACTGAAGAAGCACTCGGCCAAGGATCTCAAGATCAGGGTAAATACTTATAAACAAACGTAGTTTTTTGAGGGAGTCCTAAGACGCGATTATATGTTACAGATCGCCGCGCCTCAGGAACGACTCTACTCCACATGGATGGGCGGATCAATTTTAGCCTCGCTCGATACTTTCAAGAAGATGTGGATCTCGAAGCGGGAATACGAGGAGGAGGGTCAGAAAGCCGTGCACAGAAAGACTTTTTAGTGTGTTTACTAGCTTAAACGCCATTTGTAAAAGGCTAATTAAAATGTATATCAAATCCTTGTGTCAGCTAACATCAAGTTCCCAGAAATTTAAAACGTGTGTATGTTTTACGCATAAAGGGCGCAAAGTATTTAAAATGCTATTTATTGAAACTGCTTTCCCAGCCTAGAAAATAAAGTACTAAAATTTATAATACACTTGGGGATGATTATTCCCAGGTCCCACTCATAAAAAATAAATTAAAAGTTGCAACCAACCAGGGAAATGACGATAAAAACGGTACTCTTTCACAGTTTTCGAAGCATACAAGTATTTATGTTCGTTCTATAAAGTATATACAAATACGTCATCTCAGATAGCTTGTGACGCCAATTTTGGATGTATGTGACCCCATTGGAATGCTGCCGCCCAAAAACATGCCCTTGTTTGGAATCAGGGGAAACACTATTGGCTGGCGGTCCACAGTTCCGGCAATCGCCTGTGTCATCTGGGCCAGGGTCTGGTCCAACTTAATACCGCACTTTCCCTTGTGCAAGTGGAAGAATGGGGGACAATGCACCTTGCCGTAGGGGTCACGATAATGATCCCTGTACTTCTGGCACTCCAAATAGAAGGTGTCAATCCTGTAAATCTCTCCGCGACTTATGGTGGCCAGATCGACGGCTTCGGGAACGAACTTCCGAATCATTTGCCGATCTTTCTGGGACTTTTTCGAAACGTCCCAGTATTGAGCCTCTGGTATGGGAAATTCCATGATTGTGTTTGGAGTAATTCTTTAAACAAAGTATATTTAAATTTATTTCTAATGTAAGTAGAACTTTTAACGGATTCTACTCCAAAATTGTACTGTTCTGTGGAGAAACCAAATCCAGCTGACTTCAAGCCTACTACACGTTACTCTATTTTTAGAACTGGTTTTCTAAATTTTAATAAATTTGAGAAGTGAAACATTTTAAAATTAAATTTTTAAACGAATGTGTATGAATTTTTATGAAACATTATTTTTAATTTGTATGCATCAATGGCATTGAAATCATAAACTAAAAATAAAATCGTTTGTTTAAAAAAAATCGTCCGAATATTTCAAAATATTGAATCATTACAATGTCATTGTACAAATATTTCAACGCCCAAGTAGTGTTGATTCATATATCCGCAAGGATAAATGGGTGATTCCTAAATTTAATCAATGCAATTTTCATTTAGCGAACTACTATTATTAGTCCGTTTGAAAACACTCTTTCCGGCTTGCCCCACTCTCTTTCTGGTCAAGTGTACCGAAAGCCCGACTCACTCGCGGGTTGTACTCTCTGGGCTGGATTTCCGAATTCAGTGCGCCGTCAGTTGTTTAATCGTTTGGTTGTGTAGCAAACCGTCTCCACGACAACGCCGCTCCAAGTATCAACAATTGTGTTGCCAATTCGAGGAGACAATGAAAACCGAAACAACTTGAATTGAACGTTTTTGAGTTCTTTTGTTTGGCTTGAAAAGTGAGACAAAGTCCAGTGGTGTGTGACCGAAACCAAAGCTCAAATTGAAAATAAAACCCAAAAGATTCATCCATAATGGCGTCAGGTTTGGACCGGGTTAACGAAAACGAGGTAAGTCCAAAGATATATCCATCTTCAGGTATGGTATACCCATATTCCGAGCACACACAGACCGACCTTGATCTTAACCGTATATCCCTGTTCATAAATTATTTATTTATTCGTGCGAATGAGGCACACCTCCTCCGTACCCATATCCCCATTTCTATCCTATCCGTAATTGCCAGTCCATGTAATTGTCGTTGTTGTTGTCTTTGCTCCGACTGTTCGTGCAATTTAAAAATGATATGTGCCCGACTCGCTTGCCTTATGCACCTTAAAACTCCGATGAGCTGTGCGAAAAAGCATTTTAATTCCCACCAGTTGTTTGTTCCCATATTGATTTTCTAATTGTGATGACAATTATATGACACACTTATACCATGTGATAGTAATTATCCTTGTAGCTATTTGTAGTTTAGTAAACACATTTGTTTTTTGCAGAAACCTATTAAAAATGCTTGGCAGGTACGAAATGATTCCTAAAAAAATTACCTTCTATTAAATCCAATTTTAATAATTTTCTATCTTTAAAATATACTTTAATTTTTCTCTGTGCATATTTTTTTAACCCTTGCCCCCAATGTAAACCTTTTTGTATGCCTATTTTTTCATTAGCTCAAGTTGTGATGTTCTGCTTTCTTATCAGCACAAGATCTAACATAAATGACAAAAAGATAAAAGTCACTTTGAATTCAAACTGCAATAGTCGTTCACTTTCCATTGGACTATTGCTCCGGCATCATGGCATCTTTCTTCGAAAACGTATCCTTCGGACATACACTATTATTCTATTGAATATAAATTCTCATTTTTTCACCACCTATTTCAGTTGAAAGCCATGGATGCCAACCGGTATGCTACGAAAAAGACGATTGCACAGGGCATGTTGGATATTGCTCTTCTAACAGCTAATGCCTCCCAGCTAAAGTACATCCTCCAAGTGGGCGAGCAGCACCAGTTCTACAAGCTAATGCTAATCCTGATCAGTCTATCTATAGTGATGCAGGTGAGCTATACCTTAAGCCACTCAATTTATCCTGATTCTCTACGTGTCCTGCACAGAGAAAAACATTATAAACGATTTTTCAATAATTCGAAATCTTTTGAATTGAATGGATTTTAGAAAGATCCTTAAAAACATAAACATAAAAAGATTCAGTTTCGAAAAGCTTTATTGTACCTTGAAATTTAAGTAGATCCGTAAAAGTTAAATTAAAAACCAGATGACAATATTGAACTGATATTGTTATGTTTTTCTCTGTGTAGGTTCTGTCGGGCGTGCTGAGCCTGTCTCTGAGTTTGCTGAGGGACTGCCGGTTGCACCAGCCAGAGTTTCACCAGTCGGCCAATATAATAAACCATATCCGCACGGGCTTCGCCTTTTTCACGACGATGATAAATCTGTTTATCTCGGCCTTTGATAATCGACTGCCCTCGCCACAAGGCGACTCTCTGAACAATGTGAACTAGAAAGAGGGATGGGAACAGAAAAGAATAAAGTCTTCACATGGTCCTTACTATCCGGTTCTAACGCTTTCCCAATCCATTTCGACAGCTTTTGGTGGGCATTCTGTTTGTGGTCATCGGAAGTCTCAACATAAACAGGGAGCAGGATCAGACGGCGGCGGTGATCCTGAACGATGTCATTTTGGTGGTCGTGTTTATAATATCCGTGGTGAACGTTATCATATCCGGTTTTGGCCTAGAGTACTCGTATTCGTATCAGCATGAAAAGACACCCTAGAAACTAGAAATCCAACGATTTACACCAAATAATGTATTATAAGGCTAATGTACACCTAGATTGTAAAGCAGAATAAATAAATGTATTGATGTTAAAGCATTGCATTTTCTTTTACCTTCGCAAACAGGTGGCTGCTGGAGTTTTGCTGGTCATTCAGTCCCTGATCAATATGCATAATCCCAAGGACAGAAGTCTGGGCTTCACCATCAACCACTTTATAGATGCCTTTATATTCTTGTCCGTTTTCTGTGACATTATGAAGATGAATTTTGGGATAGATCCGGTGGTTCCCCACAGCGATGATGTGAAGCTTCTGAAGCCCTAAACTTCATGGATCTCTAGATCTAAGCAATATTTTCGGCATCTATGATCGGCGTAGCCTCAGAGTTTTATTTAAACTGATTTGAACCATTGTACATATCAATTTTTATCAAGAAAATCAAATTTAAGTAGATAATGTAAGCTGCGTTTTATTATCACACACCACAGATTAACCAGATCAGAGCTAGCTGTACAGAGTTTTGTTTAATTATTTGTGGACTATTGTTTGGAAGGCCATAAATTTAACGTATCCCCATTGGGTTTTATTTGATTAATTAGTCAAGATGCCCCGCCCAGAAGCGGGCGACAGGTGAGTTGTAACTTGAATTCTTTAGTTTTGAGCTCGCGAATTTACAATTTGAATTCGATAAGATCGCGCCAGTCCGACCGTCGCGCCAAAAATTCAGAGTAAAAGCCACGTTACACTTGGGGTATTCCCTAAGTGATGGAAATTTCAGAAATATTTTGAGTCGAAGTTGCTGAATCGCTGATAACCAAAGTTGCCTTGTCTTAAAAACCATTGCAATGTAAAATATTAGTAACACCAGTAACCATTTTTTATTTTAAAATCCAATTCCAAAGTATATTTATTTATATATATATTTAACTTATAAGCGGTTAGCGGTTTGAAAATTCAAGAGGAACCATTTGGGGTCGCTAACTCAATTGTTTAAATTTTTGATTGAACTTTGAACAATTTATCAATTTAGGGAATTCGCATCTTATGTCCTATTGCAAAACGTTGGTTTAATAACGTTGTATTTACATTACTGCATGACTCTATAACTTCACCCTAGCGTAAACAGGATTCTTAGACTTATTATATTGCTTTTTATAGGCTAGTTCTCAGATAAAGTAATAGTCCCATTGGGAAATAACATCTTGCCCAGAAAAAGAAACTTGAAAAAACTTGATTGCAAATATCGATAGAATTCTGTTGAAACCGATTTATTCAGAGTGACCTTTTAGGGTATTTTAGTATATTTAAAAATGAAATGGTATATTTTCCGCCGCACGGTTTTTTGATTTATAGTTCCGCGGTCACACCCAGCCCTGTCGAATTCCAAAAATAAATAATACGTATACGTACGCGCGTGAATCATTCGCCTTCGCCACACATCCGACATCCCAGCGCCGCGCGACAATCGAGTGTAGACACATAACATAACTGCCGTAGTTGGTCGAAGTCCGTAGCATCCGCTCCAGTGCACCCCTATTCGATTCCGAATCCGAGTCCGATTCCCTTACTTATTCCGGTGGCTAATTAAGGTTTTGCGAAATGTTCAGCTTCTTGAAGCGCGAGAAGAACACCCAGGAGGTGGTGGAGAATGTGATCGGCGAGCTGAAGAAGATCTACCGGAGCAAGCTGCTGCCGCTGGAGGAGCACTATCAGTTCCACGACTTTCACTCGCCGAAGCTAGAGGATCCAGACTTCGATGCCAAGCCGATGATCTTGCTGGTGGGCCAGTACTCCACGGGCAAGACGACCTTCATCCGCTACCTTTTGGAGCGCGACTTCCCGGGCATTCGGATCGGGCCGGAGCCGACGACGGACCGCTTCATCGCCGTGATGTACGACGACAAGGAGGGAGTGATCCCGGGCAACGCCCTAGTCGTGGACCCCAAGAAGCAGTTCCGTCCGCTGTCCAAGTATGGCAACGCCTTCCTGAATCGCTTCCAGTGCAGCAGCGTGGCCTCGCCGGTGCTGAACGCCATCTCCATCGTGGACACGCCCGGAATCCTCTCGGGCGAGAAGCAGCGCATCGACAGGGGCTACGACTTCACCGGAGTGCTGGAGTGGTTCGCGGAGCGAGTGGACCGCATCATCCTGCTGTTCGACGCCCACAAACTGGACATCTCCGACGAGTTCAGGCGCTCGATCGAGGCGCTCAAGGGGCACGACGACAAGATCCGGATCATCCTGAACAAGGCGGACATGATTGACCACCAGCAGCTGATGCGGGTGTACGGAGCCCTTATGTGGTCGCTGGGCAAGGTGCTGCAGACGCCGGAGGTGGCGCGTGTGTACATCGGCTCCTTCTGGGACCAGCCCCTGCGCTTCGACGCCAATCGTCGTCTGTTCGAGGACGAGGAGCAGGATCTCTTCAGGGATCTGCAGTCCCTGCCACGCAACGCCGCCCTGCGCAAGCTGAACGATCTGATCAAGAGGGCGCGACTGGCCAAGGTGCACGCTTTCATCATTGCCGAGCTGCGCAAGGACATGCCGTCCGTGTTCGGCAAGGACAGCAAGAAAAAGGACCTGATCAAGAACCTCGGACAGGTGTACGATCGCATCCAGCGCGAGCACTCCATTTCGCCCGGCGACTTCCCCGACATCAAGAAGATGCAGGATGTGCTGCAGCACCAGGACTTCACCAAGTTCCACTCGCTCAAGCCCCATTTGCTGGACATTGTGGACAACATGTTGGCCAAGGACATTGCGCGGTTAATGGAGATGATCCCCCAGGAGGAGATGACGATGGTCGTGGATCCAGTGGTCAAGGGTAAGTCCCTCCCCCCAGCAGCACCGCTTTGTCGCATTCGTCACTTGCTGCACTTGCTGACCACCTAAAAACGGGGGAACCACTCTTCCAGTGGAGACATTGAGAAATTTCTTGGTTTTCCGCGAGCGTTTCGCTGCCGTTTTCGCTTTCCCATCGCACTGAAATATTGCGCATGCGCAGCGAGAAAAATTCCCCAGTTAACCCAGATATTTGCCAAGCCAAAATGCGAAGAAAACGAGTTTTGCCAAGCGGAGTGGAGTGAGCGGCTTGGATTCAGATATTATGGCTAGAGCTACAGCTAGACCGCAGCCAAATGTATTTAATGGATACAATTACCACTGGCAACGATCCCAAAAGCCCAGCTTTTCCCCGACTCAAGCTACTTCCACAGCTTCCTATTTTCGCTGGCTGGCAAATTATGCAATGCCTGGCAACGACTATATATAACCCTATACTATATACGAAACATATTTGAGCTTTATAAACAAAGTGATAAGCCCCGAAAACTGATAAGGCGAAAAAAGTCGGTGTCAGTTTAGCGCTTAGACAACACACACGCACTTTTTGTGCAAAACTAAACATCGAGGTGGAAGCAAAAATCGCTGAGAACCACGTACATTCTATATCTTTTGCAAATACCGGGTGGCGAGGTGATAAGCAACTACTTTGTACTTGAAAGTGGGCGCCAGCCGTCGCAGGGCGTGGCCCTTAAAGAGTAATGCTTTTTGTATGTCAATAATTATCAAATTGCTTTCGTCATGGCAAGAAAGAGTGAACCAAGTTGACTGTTTTCTCCTTGGCCAGATAAGATTCGTGGTTATGATGTAATCATTGGAAAATATCGATAGCTGAAGCACAGGGTTTGTTCTAATTGGGCCGTGAGTCATCACAAACGGGGAGAAAAAAGAAAATAAAACCAGGCGTACAGTTGGGCATGATAAATATTTCACACTCGAGTACCCAGTGGCTGAATCGGATCTGGCTCTCCGGAGCAGACGAATCCAGGCAAGCATGACGAGTACCACGCACTCGATTCCGAGCCAAAACGCCCAGCAAAACCATTGAGTTTGAGGGGGAGAATCAGATGGATACGTGGGGGGTTTTGACGTAGTTAATCAGAGACTATAGGCGCCAGTCGCATTGTACATAGTTCGGTACCACAATCCAGCTGAGCTACACTTTAATTGAGAGCCGATGCAAGCTGACGGGGCTACCGGTTTACTGTGACCTCTGAACTTCGTGCGTGGCCCAGAGTTCAAGGCCTAATTACACTTTCCCGCACACCTGTTCGCATTCCCCCATGCATTCGTTAGTGGGCCAGGTAAAAGTGGCTTGTTTGTCAACCCTTATCGGGTTGCCAGGCAATGTGGTCGGCTGCAGCCAACTATTAGATAAAAATCAATGTAAGGCCGAGTCAGCATGCCATCGTCAAACGTCTTATCAGTCTGGAAAACCCAGTCCACGTCTCCTTGGACCAAGACTGAAATGAACTCGCAGCCGGTCTTCTATGATTAGCAGTGCTCTAATTTCCACCAGCAAATATGTATGCTCATTTCGTTTATCAAAGTAAACAGTATAATTAAGTAATAAGTTCGCCACTATGTGGCTTCTGGCCAGTCTATGATGGTGGAATTTTTAAGCATTTTAGGCATAATTTAAACTGGGAATTGTCAAAAAAGACCCAAAATAATGAGTATCTTCAAAGGTTATCATCGTGACAATTACCGCCAAATGTGTAATTATCATCAGCTTTGGGGATCATTTATTGTTATACAACCCACTTATAAAAATCCAGTTACTAATATTATTGCTCATTTATATAATCATGTGTTTTGCATGCACAAACCTTTTTATCGTTCGAATAAAAGGGGCTCCGTCACCAGATTCAAATGGACTTTCTGCTTATTTCTACTCGCTATCAGCAAGTAAATGATTTCATACCAATGTTCCGTTCTCTCTAAAACTAAAATCGAAAAGCGTGTGATTGGATGAATTCTGTACACAAACGGCCAGACAAGGAACGATAGAATAATTATCTCTTAATAGGGAAAGCAATTTAAAGTGGGAAAAGTAAATAATAAAACTTTGCATTCCAATATTTTCTGCCTTATAAGAGAGGAACAATACTCTCGGGTCCACTGAGAAGATTGTCCGGTGTATTTGTCATGGGGCAAGCTGATTAAACAAAGTCCAGAGGCCCACAGAAACCCCAGAATAATCCACACGCCCAGTCCAGACGATCCCAGCATAACCCATCCCACCTCAGGCGAGATATACATATCTCGAAAGCCCCGAACCGGTTGCCGTTGGATACTTTTGATGGCGTTGGCAACCTGAGGCCGCGTATCAATTTGTGCTCCTCCGATTCTGACTTGGAACGTGTGGCACTAAGTGGCTCATCCTCCGTCTAATCCGCCGATGAATTCCCCGTGGGGAATACGAAATTCAGATGAACACTAGCGCTAAGTGCAGGAAGAAAGCATTTTACTATGATATATAGTTCGGGAGCCATCCCATCCACACAATGCCATTGTCCATGGCTAGTCGCTGATCTTTTCAGTTTGCCTTTTGGTTTGTGGACCACTTGAGTGGCTTTTTAATTTAACTATTAGCGCATTTCGCATGACCTTGTGCGAAAGCATTCCACATATAAGCAAATACTTTTGTCGGGTGGAAAATCTAAGCATAATATTGCCGATTGACGAAACCGATCGGCTGATGTCATGGGGATCATTATTTCGCGGAATGTGTCATCCGTGATTGCTGTCCACATATCTTAAACTGTGAATTCGATAGCCCCTAAAACTGACGCGACAAGTGAATGAACTCCCCGTTTATAATTACACCAGAGCAAAGGGGCGGAAGAATTCGGTGGACGCACCCCTGAAAGAGGCGGATTGCGTTGATAAAGCGAATCGTGATCGAACAGCTCGAAATCAAAGTCAAGAACTCGGTCCTCTAAATTGGTGCATGGGTCTCTCGACACTCTCTGTGTGTGTATCTGTATCTCTGATTTTATTTTCGTTGTGTTCGCTGCACAGTTTGCTTTTATTTCATAGCATTTCCGTTGTATTGTCTTGGATAATTGAATCGTGTTTTCCGATTAAGCAGTCCAGCACCACCATATCTGGATGTCTTAATATATACTTTCGGCTGGTTCGCTAATGGAAACTCTTAAGTTGGCTCCATGTTATCAGAGCATTTTGTCAGGTTGTCGGGTTGTCAGGTTGTCAGCTTCTGCCTTGAGTCACCTCCTTCACATCCGTCACCGTTCCAGCACATTTGAATCTGTGCTGGCATCACATGTTTAGCAATATGTCGCTAAATAGTTGTGCACATATCTAACACGATCTTGCAGAAATCAGTTCTTCTGTTCGCCGTTCTTTTGGTTCTTCGTACTTTTCGTTTTCGCCATTGGCCCACTAATTTATCTTGGTTTGATCTCCACGTCCGAGTCGCACTCCAGCACTGTCCAGCTGCTTCTCCTCTGTGATCGTTCTTTCTCTCTTTCTTGCATACCCCAAAAGAGGACTCTGACGAGGATTTCGATGTGGCCGAGGAGCCGGCCCTTCTGACCCCCAGTTCGCAGCGCCAGCAGTTTGCGGAGCGCTTCGATCGCTGGCTGCAGAATCTGCGCCAGCAGCAGCTCCGCCTGTTCAGCAGTTGCACCAGTCGGGTGGGCAATGTCGAGAACGACAAAGAAGCCGCCGATCCTGGTGCGGATCCAGAACCACAGCCTGAGCCAGAGCTTGAGGCAGGGCTGGAGGTGGATTCAGAGACTGAGCTAGAGCACAAGCCTGATCCTGATCCCGAAGCTGAGCCAGAACCGGAGGCGGGGACAGAGACAGGGACAGACATGGAAGTAAGCACCCTCAGTAGTTGTTTCATAAATCATTGGGCATCGCGAAATTCACCTAGAATGAAACATGGAGATCACATCTCACAAGTTTCGTGTGAATTAATATTATAAAAATAAAAATTTCCAGAGAAAAAGACGTTATGGAAAACCACAGACTGGAAATATGTATATATGATTTTCCTAATCATTAATATATTGTCTAGAATGTATAATATATGTATAAAGACCGCTAATATATAATCCTTATTGTATTAAAAACATTCGTATGTCCGAATGGTTTATTTTTTTTGAGGAGAATAGACATTAGATTACCACGAAGCAAATAACAAATGATATTTTTATTCAGACGTAGACTCATTAAGAGAAGTTTCTCAGCCTCATGCTAACTTTTTCCATTAAGCTTAATTGCTGTTTCGGATAAATTCAAATTCTCAATATCATGTTAGGTTTTATATGACTAAATACTCTTAACTAGAGGCAATGCTATAGTTAAAGTTTGTCGGTGACAATAAAAAGTTCGCCTGCTTTTCTTTTTTAGGTTTGTCAGCCGGAACTTCCCAATGAATTTAGTTAAAACAGACTCTGTAAAGACTTATTTTTCGTAAAACTAACTCCAAACTAAGACAGCGAAACTGTTTTTCCGACGGATAGTAACCTAGAAATCGGCTCTTAATATAAGAAAGGTTTTCGCTAATACTAAAAATTTAAAAATACTTATCAAGTTTAATGAATGCTAGGACATAATTATTTCTGAAATACTTTTTATGGCTATAAAATGGTTTGGCTTTGAGCTCCCAGTCATGCCAGCCGGAGGGCCCTTTTCAATTGCCCGATGCGACAGCAAGAGGCCGCAAACGAATTGAGCAACTTCAAAAAAGTGAATTGAATTCGCACTCGGCAACCTGCACCGCCCATCTCAATTGTCCCCCAGAATGCACCGCAATTGCCTGTTAAAGTAGCCGGCAAAGTACATGCTTAAGTCGGTCAGCCGGCCTAGTCACGATACGACGATACGGCGGCGACGTCAATTGGAGCCAAAACGATCTGAAGGTTTTAATTGCCTCAAATTGAATGTTTGTGCACGGCGACGCACCGATCAACTTAGATTACATGCTTAATTAATGCAAATTTATGGCGCACACAGAGTATCGACCACCGAGCTGACCTTTCTCCGCTTCTTCCTCCACAGGTGGTGCCTTCGAGGGAGTCATCGACGACCACGTCTCACCCTTCGGCTACATGAAGGGCGAGGGCATCGACGCCGGCTACGGAGAGCACGAGTGGATCTGCAACAAGGACAAGCCGCGCACGGATGGAATCTTCAACAATCTGGGTCCCGTCGATGGCAAAATATCCGGTGCAAGTAAGTGTTCAAATAACTTGACCCAGAAAGGGAGATAAAACTAATCCCATCATCCACTTTCAGCTGCCAAGCAGGAGCTCATCAAATCGAAACTGCCCAACTCGGTGCTCAGCAAGATCTGGAAGCTGTCGGACGTCGATGGCGATGGATTCCTGGACGCTGACGAGTTCGCGCTGGCCTTGCACTTAATCAACGTCAAGCTGGAAGGCTGCGAGCTGCCCACCGTGCTGCCGGAGCACTTAGTACCGCCTTCGAAGCGCTATGAATAGTGCCCTGTAATATACGCACCCGATCACACCACCTCACACCCCAAAACACGCATAGAGACCAACTCCTAGGATGCACTATGTTCGATTTGTTTAATTTTCAACCACAGTGCAGGCGACTGCCTTTTTTTATATGTACTATACTCGTTGTGAACGCGCTAAACTGGGTATTAAAACACACAAGCGGCAATGGCAAGCATTGCACCATATATGAGATATCAAGATATCAATCATAAATTCGTAGAATTTACACAAACATAGCATATTTTTGGATAATCTAATCGATTGTAGGGCGAGATGTAATGTAGAGACGATGAACCAGCCTAGTGGAATAAGACAAGAGAGTGTGTGTTGAGCGCCCAAATGTCGTTGTTGACTTAAGGAAAGTGTGAAGAAACAATTGTTCAATGCCAATGAAAAAGCATGAAGTTAAACTGTATACAATATCTAGGTTAATGTCGATGTGCAGCTTGAGGGCCATTCATTTGCAACCGTACCACTTTTATACGCAATAAATATATTTGTTGTTATATTGAAATTTAGAATTGAAGAACGTGGGCGAACGCATGTATTTCCTGTATTTATTTTGCAATATTATTTAATTGTTTCAAATGCTCCCCACAAGAATGAAAATAAAAACGTTGTGCAATTCATATTTTGTTAATGCAAATTATAGCCTGTGCTTCGACTATTTTGTAATTAGTAAATTCTTGAATATTATTAAATGTGAAATTAACTGATTTTTAAATTGTATAAAAAATAAAATAAAACTTTTTTGGAAATGGCTGTTGTTTGGGGTTCCAATAGGGGGTTTAGTTTGGTGGTTCGATGTGTTGAAATTGTATGGTTCTACTCTCAGCCGACGAAATAAATAATTTAAATAAATGCGTTAAGAGAACAAAAATCATAAATCATAACCATAACTGTGGCCTTCGATTAAACATTTAATTTAATCTAGACGGCGTTGATTTGGCCAAAATTTGATTTTTCACCAACAGAAGGAAATACCTAAAATGGTATTATGGTATTAATACTTGTCCAATTTGTCGGAACCAACAACGTATACTACTTTGTGTTGAACGTCTAAAATTAATTATAACTACAATTAAACGTTCTAGTACTTTAGAATAAATGTTTTGTACTGGGGGTACCAAAATGGTTTTTTGGAGCAGCCGATACAAATCTGAACAAAATTCAACTGTCTAGGGAATACCCCAGATCTTTGCATCCTTTTTTACTTTTTTTTAAAACAGATCAATGAATGGATAAAAATAGATAAACCATACTTTTTTCTCAACATTTTTGATTTTTGACATAAATCTAAAAATACAACTTTTTATTTATCGACTATATTTATTGTAATCCAAATCCAATCAAAATTTATTAGGCTAAAAATAGGATATTCTTTTTTAAAACATCAATTAAAAAACTTGGAATGTGTTTCTAAATTTGAATGTATGTAAAAATGTAGTTTCTTAGAATGGAGTGGCTATTCTAATAAAGATTTTAAAGTTATTTTTTTTAAGTAGCCGTGACTTTTGTTTCGGTATATTATTTGTATCTCATTGGTATAATTAACTGGTCGATCAGTGGTCACACTTCAGATACCGGGTTAAATTTGTCTTGAATTAATTTATTTTAAAGAATATTAAAATGGCCACCTACGAGGAAGTCAAGGATGTTCCAAATCACCCCGAAAAGTACCTCTTCGACGTCCGCAACGAGTCGGAGCTAAAGGAAACGGGTGTCCTGCCCGCCAGCATAAACATTCCATGTGAGCAGCTCCAAAGTCCAGGGATTACCGGCTTAATGGACACACCCCTCCTCTATTTTTAGTGGCTGAACTGGAGAAGGCTTTGAATCTGCCGGACGAGGACTTCGCCGAGACCTACGGACGCGAAAAACCGGCCATCGACGCGGTGCTGATCTTCTCCTGCAAGGCGGGAGGACGCGCCGCTCGAGCTGCCAACCTGGCCAACACATTGGGCTTTACCAAGTACATTAAACTTTATATACAATTTATATTCTGTACATTTATTTTCCTATATATTCTCAGCGCCAAGGCCTATGCCGGATCCTGGACGGAGTGGCAGGCGAAGCAGTCTTAAAAAAATTGTAAACATGTCTAAAAATTTGATTAAAAATTCTATAAAATTAGAAATACTACAATAATAAAAAGGTCCAACAATCTACACCCTAATCTCCTGCATTTCCCCCCAACTGCGGCCCAGCTTCAGCTTAACCTTGAGTGGTACATTGAGCTTGACGCAGTTCTCCATAGTGAGGCTGAGAACTTTGGCAATTTTCCTGGCCTTTTCGGTGGGCACCTCGAAGATTAGTTCGTCATGTAGGTGCATGACCAGGTTCACTGAGTTCTCCCCCAAGCCCATCTTATCCCGATAACGAGCTATGTTCTTTTCCATCTTCAAAATAGCGCTCTTCGCAATATCCGCAGCAGATCCCTGAATGGCGGAGTTGATGGCCTGGCGCTCGGCTTGGCCTGCGGGGAAATAAGGATTAACCATGAGAAATACATTTGGCCATAGAACTATTACTTTTCAGATGCTCCTCGGGACTGTCGATGTGCTCTAGGTAGCGTCGACGACGAGTTATGGTCTCCACATATCCGTTGTTGCGCGCGAACTTGACCACCTTTTGAGTATGCTCTCGAATGCCCTTGTACGCCTGGTGGAACTGCTCGGATACCATCCGCGCCTCCTGTTCACTGCACTTTAAGCTCTCAGCAAGGGCGCGCATGCCCATGCCGTAGACGATCCCGTAGCAAATTTGCTTGGTGCCGTTGCGCAGGTGCTCCGACACCTCGGATTCATCTATTTTATTCCAGTGTGCCGCAATGGCAGTAAACAAGTCCTGTGGCGAGTTCATCACCTCCATCAGAACCTTGTCCTGCGACAGGTGGGCAAGGACTCGCATCTCCAGCTGACAGAAGTCAGCGGACAGGAGACATCGCCCCTCATCTTTGGGTGCGAATGCTGAGCGACAGGATATGTTGAGCGCTTCCGATCCCACTTTTATGGCAAAGTCCTTCGCCACGTTCTGCAGATTCGGCTCGGTCATGGAAATACGACCCGTCGCCGTAAACGTAATACTCTGACCGTGAATTCGGCCCGCCTGGCAGCACTTGAGAAGCGGTTGAATGCTCTTGGCCAGAAGCCCGCCCAGCTTTCGATGACCCAGTATCAGAAGCGATATGGGAGAGTCCAACTTCTCTAGCACCTGGCGGGAAGTGGTCACACGTCCGCTTGCCTTTCGGTGGAGACCCAGCACCTTGGCCACAGCCTGCGTCGAACCGAGATTGAATCTGGATCCATGTTGCTCGTAGATTTTTAACTCCAGCTTCTTCATGCCCGCCACCATTTGCTGGAAGATTCGCTGCAGCCGTTGCTCGTTCGTTGGAAAGCCAACGATTTCCATGTGGCATAGACTCATTTGAATTGGCATTTCGACATCTGAAAAGGATTATTATTATCAAAACTGTTCAACAGCATTGCTCCGAACTCACCATGGAAAAACTTAAGCAGGTGACCAGATCCGATCCTTCCAAGATTTTCTATCTGACCATGAAGTATGTGTACTGTTACACAGGCCTCAATTGAAGCCCTTATTTTTGGCAGAATGGCACTGGAAGTATCAAGTCCATAGCTGCTGTAGCCACGACCGCTTCCACAGAGATTAGCAAGAGCAGTGCATTCCGGAGCGAATTGCTGGCACTGCAAGATCAAAATTTAATAGGGATATACAGTAAGAAATGTTTAATAGTTACCATATTGTGAAAGCTCATGGTCTTGTCCGGCTGCAGAATCCAGTTTCCCACTTTGGGGTCTTCCATTTTAGCGCTGATCCTCTCCAGCTGTGGAATCGCTCTTAGCAGCATCTTTAGCTGCTCCTTTCCATCGTGCATGAGTAGCGTGAGATCCGTTCGAGCCATAAGCTTGCACAGTTCCTGCATCTTAAGACTGGAGGGCACTCTTGGCCCCTTCGTATGATCCTCATCCTGCATGTTCATGTAGTAGACTACATTGTCAGAGAGGCAGAAGGACAAGCCGGAGATGAAGTTGCTGTCGTCCACCTGAAAAAGCACCTGCTGGCCGGCAGCTGCCTCCCGCTGCTCCTTCGCTGCAACCTGATTGATCAGCAGGTTGGCTCCGATTAGGGGCTTCTGTCTGCCCGCTTGAGCCTGCAGACCCACGCTGAAGCCGAAACGGGGGGCTTCCAGAAGCTCCATGAGGGCTTTTTGAAACAACTGCCGGTTGCCACACACGTCAATTATATCTATGCTTGAGAAACTTGAGGCATTGTCATCCGTTTTGGAACAGCTCATGATGTGCGAGGCGTTCAGATGCTGCGGATTTTTCATTAATGAGTTCTCCATAGAAATTTCCGAGAGTTCCATAGAAGAGGCCGCGTTAGAGGTGGCGGCTTTTGATTCCAACTCCGTCTCGGTTTCAGGGGGCGAGATTCTGGAATTGATTGAACTAATTTGTGCTCGGGAACTTGGACTCTGCAGCCGCTGCGAACGTAACTGGTAGGAGCGCATCATCCTGGATGCATGTGGAGTCAGGCTTGAAACCACCTCCGGTTCCTTGGGCTGAGAGCTAGGAATCTCGTCCGCCTCTGAAGACGCTGGCAACTTGCTTTCGGCGGCCGTGAGAGCAGCAGTTAGTCCGGTATTCAGCATAAAGGAATCGTCAGGCATGAATAGATCCAGCTCTGTCGTGGAAGCCTTCCTGGAGGCGGTACGATTTGGGGTTGGTGTGGGTGAGGGTGTATGATTTCTCGGACTTCTGCGGGGCAGTTGAGAGGATAACCTTTTGCTTTGGTCGCGTGTAGGGGTGGCAGAAGATTCCTTACTGGATCTGGAGGGCGATTTAAATGCCTTTCCATTCATTACGTTTTCATTAGTGGTTTTCGATTCTGGGTGATTTTGATATGGAGTGTTTTGCGTCTTTTGAGTAACCGGCGTACTATTTACAAGAGTTGGGTTGTGTTCGATGGGAACTGCTGCAGACCTTGCTGCCTGTATGGGTTGATCCTTAGGCTGGTTATCCTTTTCGGCACGTTTCTGCTGAATCTTCATTAATGCGATCCTGCGGCGTTCGGCAATTTCTTTTCTAAGCATCTCCTTACGGGCATTATGGCTGGTGCTGGGCCTCTCTTCGTTAGCTGATTGCGGACTGGGCACAGTTGGACTACTTTTCCCAACTTCCGAGTCTTGTCTCTGGATTTGTTTTGGAACGACTTCAGTTAGGTCACCAGCCATTGCTTGGATTGTGTTTTGAATGGGCAGATTGGAAGATGAAGGCGGAACGGACACCTTTTCTTGAGCCTTATCATCTGTGATTGATTGTGCCTTCTTTACTGGGACTGCAGATTTAGCATTAACCTTTTCCTGATTCAGGACTTGATTTTCCTTCTTTTCCAAGGGCTTCTCAGAAGACTGCTCTGTAAGCTCTTGAACGCTGCGTTTCGTAGCAACCGACCTGTTGCTCAGTCGCGAATCTCGTTTGCTTTTATCACTGTTATTAGCGATTTCAAGGGTTCCAACTTTCGGAATTTGCTCTGGGCTATTTTGCATTTTCACCAATGGCTCAAGTTTTGGAATCTTTTGGGACGAGGCACCTCCAACAGAGTTTTTATCTCCGCTCGACAGCTTTCGCTTTGGTGGGGGGTGGTTGCGTACTTGCTCTTCCTCAAAGGACAGATGAATGTCTGCCTCCTCCACGGACTTGGAACTTTCAGTGCCCTCTTGCTGCGTCTGGGTCCACTTAATACTTCCCACTCCGATCTCGTACTGAACGAACTGGCGAGCCTCGCCAATTATCAGTTTGGCAGCTTCGTTCACTGTCATTCCCGCCTTGCCGGTGATGAAGAAGTTTCTCACCACATTCCGCTTGGCCGCTTCCTCCGCGTTCTCGTGGTCGTGCTGTTTTGCAGAGTCGAAGCTGAGCGAATTAAAGAGCACTTTCTCCAACTCCAGGACATCAGCGCCGGCCAGCTCTACCAAACTGGTGAATCCGGCATCGAAGAGAGCACGTGCTCGCTTCTGCGACAAGTCGGGTAGCCGCATTAGATCAATGAGATCCCTGTGGATGCCGAAGAATAGGCGATCCTTAAACTGTGATACGATCAGTGCGAGCGTAGACCACTGCAGGGAGTTGCAAAAGGCGGTAACTATGCCGGCAAAGGTGGAGGCCATCTGCTGCAGACCCTGCAGCATTCCTCGGTGGCACTTGAACTTGTGCACCACTACGTTAATGGGCGTCTCGTTTACTAGCTCTTGCAGGGCCAGAGCTGTGTAGAAACTAGGGAGTTTAAAAAAATCTTTAGTTTGTTACTTTACTTTAACAGAAAATTAACTTACCGCTTATGCACTTGCATCTGCTTGTAGTCCAGTTTCGTTTGACCACGCATCGCCTTCACGAGAAATGCTTCCTTGACCCCCACCAATTCACCCACTTTCTTCATGGCCGGGCTAAGCTTTTCCCACATGTCCAGGTAAATCAACCAGTCAAGGTCTTGCAGCTGATAGCACACGGAGTAGGGTGTTACTAGGTAGACAGCATGCAGCTCAGACTCTAAAACGAAGCAACGACGGGACTTCTGTAGCTCCGCAAAGAGGATGAGTCCATCGGTGGGCGGCATGGAGGAAGCCAGACAAGCGGCACCCAGACGCGTGGCCACATAGGAAGTGGTCTCCTCCTCCTCGTCTGATTGCAGGCGGACAAACTCGTACTCAACAAGAAAGTCCAGGGCATCGTTTATGTAGTGGGATTCCGAGTCCTCTTCTTGTGGCTGGTCCTTCGCCTGCATGGCCTTCTGGGCACTCAGCAGCGTGCAGTTCACAAAGCAGTCAATATCCTGTTTAGTGCTCGCCACACCAGAAGAAATAACCTCCAGGAGAGCGCGTTTCAAGTGGGTCTGTGACAGGAAGGTCCTTTATTTTGGTCACAATAAATGCTTGGTTACTTACACTTCCGTCCATTTCCAGGCAGGAAGTTATGGGTTGCAGCTGCGCAGTGACCAAATCTCTTCCGATTCGCGCATTGCTCTCCGTGCAGATGAGAATGGACTCGCCCAACGTATCCTTGCCCGTACGCCCTGCTCGACCGATCATCTGACGGTACGTTAGGGAGCTCATTTGCTTGCCACCAAACAAAGGAGAGCGAATAAGCACCCGTCGAGCGGGCAGATTAACACCCGAGCTAAGTGTGCTAGTGGCCACCAGGACCTTTAACGATCCCGCTTTGAAAGACGCCTCCACAATGTCTCGCTCCTCCGTTGTTAGGCCGGCGTGGTGAAAGGCGCAGGCGTAGGTAATAGCCTTGCCCATGACCGCATCGAGACCTTACAGGAAATAAAGGATACAAATCAGGAATTTATAAAAAGTCAATTCGTTTTCCTGCACAGACCTGTGGGAATATCCCTTAATTGTTGCTTAACTTCCTCGATTGCCTTTGGATTGAGATTAGTCCGCAAACGTCGGCCCAGCTCTGAGCCAGACTTGATCAGACCATGCATAGCTGTGGCCAGCTGAACGGCCAGGTTCTCGCACCAGTCCTTCGACGGGCAAAACACAACGACGGAGCAGCCCTCCAGCAACGTTTCGATGCAGAGCAAGGCCACATCATCCGAATCGTTGCCCAGGGCCTGACGCATCTCCTTAAGCTGGGAGACGTCGCGCAGGAACTTAAGCTGATTGTCGAAGATCTTCGTGCCCACCTTGATCATTTCCTGCAGAGCCACGGGTCGGTAGTTTGTAATGTACAGCTCGGCGTCCAGCCAGCTCTTCAGCAGCTCTACATTCTCAAGAGTAGCCGACATGGTGATCACCTGGATCTGCAGGGCATTACGACGGGACATGTAGAGGATCTTGGCTAGCAAAAGTTCTAGAATGTAGCCGCGTCCCTTGTCCGAGATGAGATGCACCTCGTCGACCACTACGGTGCCGATGGTGTCCAGTTTGCCTTGCTCCAGCAGCTTGTTCACAATCGAGTTGGCCTTCTCGATTGTGCAGATGGCCACATGCATGTTGTCGAAGCCTCCAGGTGGTGTATATCCCCCGTAGAATCCCTCCACACGGTAACCAGCCGGCGTAAGTAGATCTTGCAGATAGAACATTTTCTCGCGGACCACCGAGATGAAGGGCAGGATGAGCAGCACCTTCTTGCCGCGCTCGAGGACGGTTTTCAACAGCAAAATCTCACTGACCAGCGTCTTGCCGGCAGATGTGGGCGCGGAGTACACAAGGTTGCAGTGCTCGAAGAGAACCCTTGGCTTGCAGAGGCACTCTACTTGCCAGTCGAACATTTGGACGACGCCCTTCTTCTTGTATTCCGCCTGAATGCTATGGGGAAGGTTCCACGAGGCTATTGACTTATGGGACTCCAGGTCCAGGGGAGGATCTTTTCGCTCGGGAACTGGCTCACGAATGTTGGAGGAGTTGGGCGAGACTCGCAGTTGGTTGGGCGACATGCTGCTCAGGTTCTGGGTGACCTGAGAGACCTCGTGGTAGACACCCTGCTTGGCCAGCACGCAGCGACTGCGCAGGATGTCCTCCTTGAGTTGCTGGGAAGCCTCCGCATCCTGCGCGGGACAGAGAAAGCTGCTCTCGTCCAGGTTGTGCAGCTCCTGGACTTCTTCTTTGACCTTGTCCTCCGTATCGAACACATCCTCCGTACAGATTTGGGCATCAAACGCGGATGAGCTGCTAACATCGCCGGAATCCCGATGGGAAACTCCTTCTAGGAGCTCCTCAACCTTGCTCACATTGACCACAGACTGTTCATCAGGCTTCTTGGCCTGATTGACTTCGTAGGAGAACTCGTCTCGGAAATACTCCGAGTAGTTATCCTGGCTGGTAACCTTTGAATCCCGGCCAGCATTTCCTCCTTGGACATTTGCATTTCCGGCACGGGAGTTCTCTTTTCCCGGCGCTAGGATCCCTTTTTCCAGCTCCAAAAAGGTGCTGTTTCCGAAATCAAAAGATTGCGAAAACGCCATTGCACTATACTATTAAAATTTCCATAATAAATAATTATACATAATAAATAAAATAAATTAAAAAAATTGCAAGGCTAAAAAAACAAAACAGCGCGGGGTCAGTGTGACCGTCTGAAGATAACTTAAAAACCTTTCATCTGTCCCAAACTCATTTTTGGGACAAGCTATCTACTGTTGGTACTCATTAGGCAACAATTGCAATTACATTTTTAAGTTAATATTAACTAACATTTATAAAGAAATCAGTTACTTAATTATTTAAAAAAGAAATAAAAAAATTTTTCTTGGGACAACTGTTGAAGAAGTGCCGTATTTTCCAGCGGTCTGTGACTGGTCCCACTGCGCTGAAAATCAGCTGAAATCTGCGAAAATTTGTTTACTCCTCGGAAAATTAACATATTTCGCACAACAGTCAGCATGAACGAGTTCAAAGTGCCCGCTCCGCTGCCCAAACCCAAAGTAATCATCACAGAGAAGCCGCGCTCCGAAGTTCCCGCTGAGCCGCCACCTCCGCCGCCAAAAGTCCCCAAGGCACCCAAATCCTCGCCAGCGGCCGTCTGTCCGTACAAGGTGCCCAAGTGGTCGGCTCCTCCGGCCGAGGATCAGAACTACAGCTTCGAGGTGCTCAAATCCGGCCAGATCATCGACACTGTGCGCCAGCTGCAGCAACAGGCTGTGTGGACCTTCGGTCGTCTGCCGGAGAACGATGTGCCCGCCGCTCATCCGACTATCTCTCGCTTCCACGTGGTGCTGCAGTACAAGCCCAAGGCGTCACCCAAGCCGGACATAGTGGAGGACGAAGGCGAGGAGCCAGGAGACCCCGAGCAGCCCGAGGGCTGGTACATCTACGACATGGGCAGCACACATGGAACCTTTCTGAACAAACAGCGCGTGCCCCCCAAGGTCTACATCCGTATGCGCGTAGGCCACATGCTCAAGTTGGGTGGCAGCACTCGCGTTTACATTCTCCAGGGTCCCGGCGAGGATGAGGAACCCGAGTCCGAACTGTCCGTCACCGAGCTGCGACAGAAGCGGGAGAAGGAGCTGGCCGACGCAGCAGTGGAGAGAGAAATTCGGCTTCTGGAGGCCGAGGAAAGGGAGCGCAACGAGGGCGTCAGCTGGGGCATGGCCGACGACGCCGATGAGGAGACGGATCTCAGCCACAATCCCTATGCCAGCACCAATAACGAGGAGCTCTTCTTCGATGACCCGAAGAAAACGTTGCGCGGATTCTTTGAGCGCGAGGGTCTTAATCTAGAGTACAGGTGCGATGAGCTGTCCACCGGCTCCTTCGTTTGCCGCGTGGAGCTGCCGCTCGACGACTCCAATGGCAGGCCGATCACTGTGGAGGTGAACCACAAGGGGCGCAAGAAGGATTGCGTTGTGCAGTGCGCCCTGGAGGCATGTCGCACGCTGGACAGGCACGGTGTGCTGCGACAGGCCAACCAAGAGGCACTAAAGAGAAAGATTCTGAAGAAGGGGGACTCTGACGACGAGGATGAGTTTTGGGACCGCACTGGAGACGTGGCGCGCAAGAAGCAGCGCATGGAGAATGCAGGTGCCAGTGTCACCTTGACTTATGAGGATTTGGTAGGTATTACAAGCCATTGTTTTGCCTACTAACTAACCAAATCTCAAAAAGCTAAAACAAGAGATTGAGCTCAAGTTGGAAATGGAAAAGGTCGAGCAGGAAATCGCAACTTACCAACAAAAGGAGAAAAAGTTAAAGGAGCTGGCCGCCAAACAGCAAAATGAAGGCGATGATCTGGATAACTTCATGGACATGCTCACCGAAGATGTTGAGAAGCTGGACAAGACCGAGATTAAAAAACTAAGGGTGAGTGTTACCGGAAAATAATATTAAAATCAAAACTAACAATTTCAAATTCAAATCAGTTGGAGCAACAGCGTCTTAAAGGCGAGCAAGTAAAGGTGGAACGCCTTCTGAAGATAGCCAAGCCAACTGTTCTGCCATTTACCAACAGCCTGGCTGCATGCTCGAAGGAGTCCTCCGTCCAGGAGGGAAGTGCCGCCAGGAAGCAGCTTCCCATGATTGGCAAGAGAAATCAGTTTAGCAAATTCAAGGTAGTCAAAGCGCCGACAAGCACACAGACCAAGCCCCCAGCAAATGCATTTGCCTCGGATGAGGAGGAAGTCGAGGAGGAAGAGCCCAAGGAAGCTCCCCTAGTGAAGGAAAAGGAGGCGGACATTTTGGAGAGGGGAGAGGGGGAGCAGGAAGCTGTGGCAAAGCCATCGACTGCAGAGAAGAATAACTTGCCGGAAAGCAAACCCCCTGCCGAAACGGAAGAGAGCAAACCAACAAACGCTGAAGCGGAAGTCTTAAAACCAGACAACGTGATTTCAACAAAAGTTTCAGCGGAAGCGTCAACAGTTCCCAGCGACACTGTTGCTTCAACTAAGCCAACAGAATCGTTGGAAGAGACTAGCACTCCAACGGACGACACTCCCGATCCGGGAGCAGAGGAGGCGCAGAGAAAGCGCAGGCAACGCCAACGACAGCGCAACAAACAGCGCCAGGATGTGGACATGGATCTGGAAGAGCTGGCCGAGCATGAGGACAGCGAGAAGTACGCCAAGTGGGTGCCACCAACCAACCAGAGCGGGGATGGCATCACCCATTTGAACGAGAAGTTTGGCTACTAGCTCAGCAGTAGCGTTAACGCACTTGAAATATTCGATCTAGGAATATGTACTTTTAAACTAGTCTAGACGTGTAATTGATGTATTCTTTAAGACCCTCTCAATGTAACTTTGTAAATGTTAAGCCCTTGAATATTGTCATTATATTTTTCAATGGGCCACGAGGGGCTCAAACTTTGTGGCGACTCCAGTCAGAGTGGGTGAGCTTTCCACCACGATTCCAGTGCTGGCAACTCCCCTTCTCGCTGGCAATCACCCCTAATTTGAGTCGAGTGGCAGTGGCGGTTTCCACGAAACGATTCATCCGCTGGCTCGGTGAAAATTCTTGCGCACATACACAAAATGAACGCGCACTCGGCTCTGCCATTTTCCGCCGAAGGGGCCATCGGTTCGCCGATGGGACTCCAGTACTTGAACTTCCAATTCAGTTATAATTTCGTCGCTCTAACCGCCAACACGGTCCGACGGCTGAACGTGGAAACGTGTCTTCAGTTTACCAATAGCCCGTAGTCAACTGCTTATTTGTTTATCGAAACCAATTGGCTTTAGTTTAATTGCTAGATTAATTTCGAATATCGATTTGGCTGGACTTAGGCCACCTTGAAGCTTTGAATTTGAATCGAATTAATAGCGCAATCGATTGTAAACTGAATCTGCCGAAAGTGTGGGTGGATGTGGTTTGGATTATTTATATAATCTGGAACATTTTCGACAACTTCTCGGTTGCGGAGCCAGTGGCATTGGTTTAATGCGGCCGACACGCGTTTCCCCAACAGCCGGAGCACATGTGCGGGTTACATTTTAGGACGCGTAACAGTCCGTCTCAGAAGACGTCCCTCCGCTGGGGCGACTGCTGTCTAGCCTAGTCTAGTGTTCAGACTACCGTGATTCGAGTTCCTAGCCGGAGTCCTTGTACTCGATTTCTTTACGAGGGAAATCTACGATCAAACTACACGGGGAATCCGAATCCAATCCCCTCAAGCCCTTTGGAGCAGGAAATGTTGCATAAGCCAAGGCGCATTTGATTGGCGCGCTTCTTTGATTGCCGTCGCTAAGCTCCAGAGTATAGAAATTGGCGTCCGCTTGAACTTGGCGCACAAATCCCAAAGCAGAGGTGAGTCTCTTTCCGTTCGATTGCCCGTAAATGCGCTGGGTCATGCGCAGATTGCATGGGGGGATTACCTTTGCCCCCTATCCCCATTCGAATGCGCTCCGTGCTTTGCTCAATTTTTGTGAATGAAGCCGAAGCCCCCCTTTGTGGGTAGTGTGGTACATGGTATATGGTATATCGTACTGAGGTGTTCTCGAGGTGCCCGCTTGTTTGTCGCGGCTATGACGTACTTAACTCCCCGCACACGAGGCGCTCTGAATTGTTTATGAATTTTACATAAGTCGGAATCCTGACTGTCCCGCTCCTAACACGGCCTGTTATACAAGCATGAAATGTGCGTGCTCCAACCATCGGAATTAATTTCCGCACATTTAAATGCCCATAAGTTTTGCTCAAATTAGTTGGGAACTAAAAGCATTACGTTTATTGAAAGATAATGTCTTGAAACTATGTCTTTATTTACAAAATACCCGTTTCTTTAGAACAGGGTTTTTTAAGAAATAGGTTAAACCAAAAAAAAGACTTATTTCATAGCTAATATGCGATATGTTACAACATTGAACTGGGGGACATCTGAAAATATTTTTTATATCAATGTTTGGGGAATTTTCATTATATTTTTATAGTTTTTGTATTTTATTTGATTTCTTGATTTTGGGTTTGCCTTTGTCTTCAAGTCCGCGCTAAGTGGTCCGCTTAGATTAAAAAAAAACAATCATAAAGTAAACACAAGCTTCCGTTCAAAGCCCAAACTATGCGTTCCCAGTTCCCAGTTTGCTATAACATACCTTTTTGTAATCTAAGCTTAACTTTTATTTATTTCCTTTGCTTGTAAATAACTATATTATTTATTCAAAGAATGTTTTTTATAAATATATAACAAAGGTAAATTTACTTTTTTATAAAAAGTATTATTTTATAACAAGAAAAGAAAGGAAAAACTTTTAATTTGGGATTACTTTTTGTTCTCAAAAATTAAAACTCACCTCCCTTTTATTATTTCCATTATTGTATTACTATGTCCATTAATATTAATTCAATCAGACAATGAAAAATGGAAATAAGCCCATTAAATTATTAAAAGGTTTCAGTAACTAAAGATAATGTCTGACCTTTGTAGTGCTGATATTAAAATCGCTTTAGAGGTCAAACCCAGTGCAAGGGCTAGTTAATTGCGCGCCATTAGCAAGGACGCATTTTGTCATAAGTGGGTTGGATAGGGGGGTCCGGAGTGGGGGCCAACTCCAATTATATCCTGGCGGAGAAAGGTCAGCCGCGTCGAAGGCCTTGGCCAATGCATTGGCTTAATATTTAATGCTTCGTGCTGT